TTGCATACGACAAATTAAATAGGTAGAGTTGCTGCAATAGCGCCTGGCGAGTAGGTGGAATAAAATCCTGATTTTTTTAAGGTAGTAGATTTAATTCTTATATTTGAATCATAGGGGACTAAAGTCCGATGAGGCAACCTTAGCTTATTATCCAATAATAATAATAAAAAATAATAATAGAAAAAAAAAAGTGTAGAAGAGTGCTTAGCTCGTACAACAACTTGTATACAAACAGATTAAACAAACAAGGAGAGGTAGACGTGAAATATTCTGTTTAATCCAACAAATTTTTGTCTTCCAATTTCATATCATGAAAATTAGATGACCATGATCGCGTCTTCGTCGTCTCTTATTATCTTTCAAATTCATTATTTGTCGACTCTATTTTCCCTTTCTTTTATAATGTCTTTCACCATCTTCATCTACATATTATATACATAGGGGATTCACTTAATTCTCTCTTGTTTTCCTTTTTGGATTCATTTTGTCCGTATTAAGCAGTAGTTAATGATGATGTTTTTTAAGAATTCTGTAGTTGGGAGTTTTTTTATGCTAACCGCATTTATCTGATGGTTTAATGCGAAGAGCAGCGAAGCATTTGGGACATTTGGATTCGACATCCACCACAGATATTCCGACACTGTCAAGCAATTCTTGAACATAGATGGGTTGCCGGAGGAGGGTACCGTTGACTACTACACCGCCATGGCCCACCGCGATCATCTCTTCAAGGGCCGTCGCCTAGCCGCCGCCACCACCCCTCACTTTCTTTGGTAACAACAGGACTTACAACGTCAGGGCACTTCAATAGTTAAGTGTGTGCATATATATATATATATATAGAAGATATAATAATCATATCAATTTTCATCACTTGTGTTACAATATAATATATGACACTATATACAGTAGACCATAATCTCGCTTAAATAATAGTTTCTCTCGGTCCCGACTCGGTGAAAATATGTTAAATTATTAACTCGATAATTTAATAATTCGCTAAATTAATAGAATTTGCATAGTCCCGATTGTATTAATTTATAGAGGTTCAATGGTATATCTTCTACTTATTTGCAGCTTGCACTATTCATATATTAGAGTGGGTACCCCTGCCGCATTCTTTCTTGTGGCACTCGACACGGGCACTGACCTATTCTGGTTACCATGTGATTGTCCTAACTGTCCACGTTACTATAACAGGAGCGATGGATCAGTAAGTCCCGGTATTCAGTGTTACAAACCAAATCATTAATCGATACTTAGACGATAAAATCTGTTTTTTTTTTTTTTTTTTTTTTTTTTTGAATTGATGACATTATGTTGCCATGTATTAGTATCTCCAATTGTTATTTACGTAGTTTCAATGTAACAGAGATTCGATCTAGAGATATACAGTCCTAGTAATTCAACAACTAGCAAGCCACTTCCATGCAGTAGCCCTATATGTGGACCAAAAAGAAGATGCTCGGTCAAGGATAACGCATGTGCTTACGAAATATTACACAACAACGCCTCGAGTAGTGGAATATTAGTTGACGATGTTTTGCATTTGGGTACGGATACCAATCCACAAGACCCTGTCGATGTCGCTGTTACATTAGGGTTTGTATACTTTTTCTTTTTCTCGGAAGAAAAAAAAAAACTACTCCTTTTGTTTGTTGTGATATGAGCTTAAATTCATATATGTTGTGTTTTCAGATGTGGTAAAAATCAAACCGGTGATTATTTGAACCGAGGTGGTAGGAATGGTGTATTTGGGCTTGGTATGGACAGTATATCTGTGCCTAGCATTTTAGCTAGCAAAAATATTACAGCAAATTCTTTCTCTGTGTGCTTTGTCACTGATGGACGTGGCAGAATCGAATTCGGAGATAAAGGGAGTGCAGACCAAAAAACAACTCCCTTTAATCTTGAAAATTTAAAGTAAGCAAGAATCGATCACTCCAATTGAATCTTTCTTTTTATTTTTATTTTCCTTTTCTTTTGCCATCTTCATTTACCTTCCCATATTCCCGGCAGCCCAACTTATAATATTACAGTGACACAAGTTGCTGTGGGTAATAACGCGACGACCGATCTTGTGTTCACCGCATATTTCGACTCTGGCTACAAATATACATACTTCACCGAGCCAGCTTACTCGTTTATTACAAACAATGCAAGTTAATATGTAATGTTATTTTACGGGAAAATTACTGTTTATGTCCCTATACTTTACCACTTAAATGATTTATGTCCTCAAACTTTTTCATCCACGAAATATGTCCTCAAATTTGCCACTTTTCAACAATTTATGTTTTGCCGACAACTCCGTTAGTCAACTTGAACGGAAATATCACATGTGGCGCATGTGATGTCGATTTGGCCGTTAAGATCCGATATGGCTGATACGATGTGGCAAAAACATGACATGGAGTGACATGTGGTTCTTTCCCTCTATTTCAATTTTAAAATTCTCAATTTCTCATTCCCCTATTTTATTGAATCGAATGCATAAACCTTACCTCCTAAATTTCTCGTACGAAGCATCGATTTGAGGTTAAATACCGCAACAACAAGATTGTCCAACCATAATTTCGCAAATTTCAAACATTTGTGGAGCTGGAACATCACAATAGAACAACCATCTTTTATTTTGGTAAGTTTCTTCAAAGTTGATATGTTTGAACTTCGTTTTTGAAATTTGGGAGATGGTAGTTTCGATTTCGATCAGATTGTATGTTGTAGTGTAGAATATGAGTAGAATTTTGGGGGTTAGGGTTTCTGCAGTCAGTTCAATGAAATAGGGGAATGAGAAATTGAGGATTTTAATCATAAATTGGGAATTTTAAAATTGAAATAGAGGGAGAGAACCACATGTCACTCCACGTCATTTTTTCGGCCACGTCATCTCGGGATGTCAGCCAGATCGGCATTTATCAGCCAAATCGACATCACATGCGCCACACGTGATATTTCCGTCCAGGTTAACTCACGGAGTCGATGGCATAACATAAATTGTTAAAAAGTGGCAAGTTTGAGGACATATTTCGTGGATGAAAAAGTTTGAGAACAAATCATTTTAGTGATAAAGTTTAGGGACATAAACTGTAATTTTTCCTTATTTTACTGTACATGTATTATTATTTTTAGCATGTGAAAGTCTGAGCTCTGATTCGAGTTTCTTCTTTTGCAGTTCAATTCTCGAATAACCGAGAAACCTTACTATTCTTCAAGCAAGGATGTTTTCAAATATTGCTATGCACTCAGGTCCGATCATATCGGTCTTAATTTGCCAACAACATTTTGTATTTTTTGAATCATGATTTATTTACGTTGCATGGTTCCCATGCAGTGCAAATCAATCTACTTATATAGCCCCAAACTTGACATTAACAATGAAAGGTGGAAACAAATTTAATGTCACTGCACCAACAATTGAATTTAATGGGGAGGTGATAATGTGTTTTTTTTTTTTTTTGTGGATAAATTCAGTTTAAAGTGCTAATTTATTAAATTTTCTATGGGCAAATTACCAAAACCTCCTGAGGTAAGCCTAAATAACGAAAATCCCCCACGTTCTCGTAATTACGAAAAACCCCCTGAGGTATGCAGACATCTTACAAATCGCTCTAACGGTGTTAAACTCGATAGAATCTTTTTTATTCTCCCGAATATTCCTCCGATAATACCAATTTTGCCCTTGTACACGAAATTACCTTAGGGGTAATTGTAATACCAATTCTTGGACCGGGATTCGGTGCAGTCTAACAAACAGTACATAATCCGAGAAGAAAGTGAAAATGAAGAAAGGTTCCTTAGCACCTAACCTCAAGTTCTCTCTCCCTCCACCCGACGACATCTTTAAAATCCGGGAAATCCCGGTGGTTTTCTGTTAAAATGGGAGAATGGAGCTCTAAAAAATATAGTGTGTGTGTGTGTGTGCACAACTGGGTC